AAATCCGAAAAGTAAAAAAACGAAAGGTCGAAAAATCGAAATAATGAAAAATTCCAAAACTGAAAGAAATATCCAACAATCGAGAAATTAAAAAACTGGAAAATTGAGAAATCGAAAAACCAAAAAAGCAAAGTTGAGAAAACGAAAAATCGAACAATAAAACAGTCAAAAAATTGAAAAATCTAGAGTTTTACGAAAAATTAAAAATACGAAAAGTAAAAAAACGAGAAATCAAAAAATCCAGAAGTCCAAACATCGGAAAGTCGAAAAATCGAAGTAATGAAAAATTCAAAGAGTGAAAAAATATCCAAAAATTGAGAAATCGAAAAATTGAAGAATTGAATGAAAAATCTAAACTCTGAGAAGTCGAGAAGTGGGAAAATAAAAACAGATTAATTGAGAAATCCGAAAACTGAAAATTTAGCAACGTCAAAATTTGAAAAATTGAAAAATTGAAACACTGAAGAACTGAAAAATCAAAAAAACGAGAAATCGAAAAATCTAAAATTAAAACATTGAACAATTAAAATATCGTAAAATTGAAAAATCGAGAAATCCAAACATCAAAAATTCAAAAAATAAAAATTCGAAAATCTGAAATTTAAAAATTCGGAAAATTGAAAAATTGAAATAAAGAATAACTGAAAACTCGAGAACTCGGATTTTAAAAATTGAAATTTAAAATTGAAAAACTGAAAAATCGGCAAATCGAGAAATCGAAACCCCAGAATTTAAAGAATTGAAAAATTGATAAATCGGATAACTGAAAAATCGAAACATCGAAAAATTGGAAAATCGAAAAATTTAAGATTCCAAAGATAAAAAATCGAAAAACCGAGAAATCCAAAAATCGAAACATCAAAAAATTAAAAAACTGAGACATCGAGAAATCGAAAACTCAAAGGATCGAGAAATCGAAGAGTCGAAAGCCGAGATGAAAAGTTAAAAATTGAAAAATTGATGAATCAAGAATTTGAACATCTGAATTCGATGAATCGAGAAGTCAAAAAATTGAAAAATCGATAAAATTTTAAAAAAGAAAAATTGGGAGTCGAAAATTTAGCAATTCTTAAAATTGAACAATTGAAATAAAGAACAACTGAAAACTCCAGAAATCGAAAAACCTAGAATTTTAAAAATTGAAAAATTAAAACATCGAAAAGTTGAAAAACTGGGAACTCGAAGTACATATAAAACAGTCAAACAGTAAAAAAATTTAAAAGTCTAAAGTTTAACGAAAAATTGAAAAGTCGAAACATCGAAATATTTACAAATACCAAAACTGAAAGAGTTATCTAAAAATCAAGAAATAAAAAAATTGGAAACTGAGAAATCGAAAAAACCATAAAATAAAAATCGAAACATTGACAAATTGAAGAATTGAAGACCTGAAAAATAAAAACTCTGAGAAGTCGAGAAACGGGAAAATGAAAAACAGATTAATTGAAAAATCCGAGAACTGAAAATTTAGCAACGCCAAAATTTGAAAAATTGAAAAATAGAAATACTGAAGGACTGAAAAATCAAAAATCGAGAAATCCAAACATCAAAAAATCAAAAAATAAAAATTCTTAAATATAAAATTTAAAAACTGAAAAACTGAAAAATCGTCAAATCGAGAAATCGCAACCCCAAAATTTAAAAACCTAAAAATTGAAAAATCGGATAACTGAAAAATCGAAACATCGAAAAATTGGAAAATCGAAAGATTGAAAAGCCAAAAAATAAAAAATCGAAAAACCGAGAAATCCAAAAATCCAAACATCGAAAAATTAAAAAATTGAGACACCTAGAAATCGAAAAATCAGAGAATTGAGAAATCGAAAAATCAGAGGATCGAGAAATCGAGGTGTCGAAAGCCGAGAAGAAAAGTTAAAAATTGAAAAATTGATGGATCGAGTAACAATCAAAACATCGAAATATCTGAATTCGATAAATCCAGAAATCCAAAACTGAAAAATCTAAAAATTTTTAAAAAAGAAAAATTGTAAAATCGACAATTTAAATTCTGAAGGTTGAAAAATTGAAATAAAGATTTACTGAAAACGCCAGAAATAAAAAAATTTAGATCCAAAAATCTAAAAATCAAAAAATTGAAATATTAAAAAATCGCATAATAAAAATTGAAAAATCAAAAAATTGGAAAATAGTGAAATCGAAAAACAAAAAAAGCAAAGTCGAAAAATCGAAACTTTGGGAAGTCGGGATATGGAAAAATAATAAAAAAGATTACTTCAAAAATTGGAAAACTAAAAATTTACAAACGTCAAAATTTCAAAAATTGAAAAATTGATATATTTAAAAATACCAAAACTGAAAGAGATATCCATAAATTGGGAAATTAAAAATTTGGAAAACTGAGAAATCGAAAAACCAAAAAAGCAAAGTTGAAGAACTGAAAAATCGAAGAATTGAAGTCCTAAAAAAACGAGACTTTGAGGAGATGAGAAATGGGAAAATGAAAAATAGATTAATTGCGAAATCAGAAAACTGAAAATTTAGCAACGTCAAAATTTGGAGAATTGAAAAATAGAAATACTGAAGAACTGAAAAATCGAGAAATCCAAACATCAAAAAATCAAAAAATAAAAATTCGTAAATCTAAGATTTAAAAATCGACACCCCAGAATTTAAAAAACTAAAATTGAAAAATCGGATAACTGAAAAATCTGAGACATCAAGAAATCGAAAAAGCAGAGGAACGAAAAATCGAGGAGTCGAAAGCCGAGAAGAAAAGTTAAAAATTGAAAAATTTGTTGAATCGAGAAATTGGACAATGAAATCGAAACATCTAAATTCTATAAATCGAGAAATCAAAAAACTGAAAAATCGAAACATTTTTAAGAAGAAAAATTGGAAGATCGAAAATTTAATAAATTGGAGAATTGAGAGATCGAAATAAAAAAGAACTGAAAACTCGGGAAATCGAAAAACTTGGAATTTTAAAAATTGAAGAATTAGAAGTTTGAAAAGTTGAGAAATCGAAGTATAAGACACAAAGTGACCGTACATTTGATGCAATAATTCCAGAAAAGTCCATGTAGTTTAACCACGATTACTTTCATAACACACGCAGAAGTTGATAGACTTGGACTTTCGTCATCCATATTGACAATAGCCAAATTTAGTGTCTGTCTTGTCTCTATGTCAAAATCTTCAATAACGTCTATGTAAAAATTCGCAACGACTAATTTTTCGTAGTCAAGACTATTCACGGAGAGGTAGATTTCAGTATCGTCATCACCAGGTTCTTGTTAAACATCAAGTACGTCTCGGCTGCTGATGACATTAACTGGTAGCTCTCCTTCAACTAAAGAAAATAGGTGTAAAGTGTCATCACATTCACTAAATTACCTCCTCCTATTAAAATAATTTTCACTAGTTAAGCTGTAGATGTTTTATCATCGAACGTTACTCCATCTTGTTGAGGATCTTTGAACTCAAACGAAACAACTACAAATTTTCTGAGTGAGAATATGAGAGAAGTTAAACCAGTACTTCGCAATTTTGGCACCTGACATAACTTAGGCTTGATCTGATTAGATAAAAATTGTGGAGATAAACCGGTTGTTTGCTTTCCTGGCTTGTTTATAGATACATAAATTAACAAAATAATTTGGAAGTGACTAAAGACAGACAGGAAGACAGAACTAGGGAAATCCAACTACTCTCCAACTCAAACAACCCTCCCCGGCCAAAATCTGCTTGTATTCAGAACATGAAAACAATGTGATCAATATTCCCGCGGCTTTAAATTCGTTCGATCCTCGTGTTCCCAAATATTCGAGTGTTGTGACAGGGAATCGCCTAATCTGAAGGAGATAAGACCGAGGTGAGGCATTGGAAAGAAGTTTGCGAGATCGCAGTGATGGTTTCAGGTGGTGTACTTGAAAGATGCGGAACCTGAAGAGCAAAAGTTGGAGGGTTTACACTCTGCCCTCTAAACAACTTCATACGAATTACACAACCCCACGTTCCTGTTAATTATACGGTGGAATGCCATTCGCATGTTAAGTTGGATTAGAAGGGAAAAAGGACTTTGTAGTGGAAGTTGCGGGATGATGATCTGCGTCAAAAGGTGCTTTTTGTTAATAATTCAAACTAATTCGAAACCAGCTTTGTCAATTTATTCTCGTATGGTAATAAGGTTTTGTTTGTTTAGTATTCCGACTCAAATAAGCACAAAATTTACGACTAATTTATAACTTTTAGTTAGCGGTTTAACGGACCGCAGACGGAAATTTTTCTTTTTTGAGTTCGTTAATGAAAACTAATAAATCTGGCAACCACTTCCACAATAATCTGCTTAATTTCAGCCGATCCCTCCATCCCGCAACTGGGTTGTTCTCGAATGCAGAATTAGATTCGGAGGAAAGGTCTGGTGGAGGAATCAATACACTAATAACAATAATATCGCCAGCTGTACACTTTCCGAATGACTAAAGTCGAGTTTTTGGGCGAAATTTACGTGTGTCTGGCGAATTTAGCACCGACGTCTTGAATAAACGAATAAACAAATAATTGAAACGGAAAAGTTGCGGCGCAATTCGGGTAGTGGTTGGAAAAGTAGGGAGCGGTGAATGATGCTGCGAGTTAGCGAGGAATACGTGAGAAAAATATTGCTTAAAATTTGTTTCAGCAGCACAACGTAGGTCCTCTCGGATTTGTAGATTTTTATGTGCAGCGTTCCGTAAATGTTTAATAAAATTGGTGCCATATATTCATTAATTATTCGTGGGTTGCCCTCTCTGAGGGGAAAAGTTTAATGAGAAACTCAAATAAAACAGTAGGAGTAATGTTGAGGTTTGTGAAATAGTAGGTGTATTTCGGTCGATCGCTTTCAATGAACTAACCCAGCGAGTTAGAACGTGACTGAGAAAGCTAAACATATCATTCAGAAAGTACACATCCAACTTTAGAAATGCAAATAAGAAAAATTAAATAAGACGTTTTGTAGAAGAACGAGCTTTCGCTGAATAAGCAAAGTCGAGTTCGTCCGAAATCCTTTATTAAGCATGGATATTTATAAAACGAAGCAACAACGTATAACAATTTTAAACTATAGTACAACACAGTTTAACGATATCAGCTACCCAATCTAACATATACATAAATATGTACAAATGATGTTCCCATTAAGTCAATAGGCAGTCTATCGATCTAAATCTCTGAACCTCCTCTACCTAATCTAATAATCATTTTGAATTTAACGTTCTAGTTTATAAGTCTATATTTATCATAGATACATTTTTCTTTTATTGGGTGCTATTTAAACATTTTTCATTAGATTGACGTACTATCCGTAATAAACTTCGTTAATGGCACTACGTGTCTTAAAAATATACAAAACAACCGTCCAACCCAACTAGTAGTCTTTTAAAAATTCCTCAGTAGAAAACGTACCGAGCTGTGTAAAATATATAATTATTGATGCTTATTTACAATTCAGGTAGCTCTCAATTGAATACAAAATTCATAAGCTTTATTCCTGTCGTTTTGCAGTCGACGAATTTGTAGGACGAGATGAATTTTTAACAGTCGCAGGAGTTCACATCGACATTACGCAGCCTCTGTTTGCTCAACAACGCTACGCCGAATGTGTTTATGTTAAGTAAACAGAGCTGTTTACCCAGGTTCGGCTAATCCGGCAATGTCAGTGCGAGTCCGACTGCATTATAAAATCTCTGATGAGTCGTATTTACACAACAACGGGATGATATCGATATAGACGAAATGATATTCAGGCATAACGTGAGCTACTACTGTGGAGGGCAACGGACAACAGTAGTCGTGGTGTACTCCTCGAACTTCTTGTCGATGGGGATGCGGTCGTCGTACAGGGTGGGCGCCTGCAGGATTATCCCTGCCGTCCCGACCAGGACCGCCAGGGTGAAGATCCAGAGGAAGAGGCGGTCGAGGACCATGGCTACGTATTTCCAGTCTTCTTTTACCTAAGACAAATTCAAATCAAAAAAACATATTTTTTTATTTTTTTTTTGACTACTGATTTCTGGTGATTCACCTCTATCATTGACTATCAGAGAAAGTTTACACCAAATTAATCTAACTGGTACTCTTAGATCATTAATTCTGGTCTAATTCTTCTGAACACATGAGAAAAGTACTCATAATGGTACTACCGGGTTTTGTTTCTAGCTATTCGGCTCATTTTGGCTATAAAACAGCAACAAGATTATTTGCAAAAGTTCCTTCTGGAAGGAGCGCAAAGATATAATTTAGATGATCTACACAATTTTCGAAAATAAAAAGTTAAATTGGGGCCTTATTCTCTGAATGCACGAGACAAGTACCCACAATAGTACTACCAGATTTTGTGTCTAGCTAATGGGCTTACTTTGACTCTTAAATATCAAAAAGACTACCGTCAAAAGTTCCTTCTGGAAGAAATCTTTCATCAAGCCCAAAGATGGTAATTCACAGGAAGCTAGGATTTTTTTTACTCAAGCCCAAGGGAAAGACAAGAACCATGAGGAGCAAAAGAAAGCAGTAGCGAAACAGAAACTAAGTGTGCTATTGTAGAACGAAGCACTACTTTAAGGGTAACCCCAAGGTGAATGCGGGTTTGTTGAGACGAGATAATGGACCATGGACCCTCTTGACCATATCTAACCCACTGAGGATGTTTTAAGACCTACCAAAGGAGATGGCCGAAAATTATAGTTTCAGAAAAAAGTGCCCACCGGAAGCTTTACGAGAGTAGAATAAGAGCCAAATACAAGATCTATTAGTTGAGGAACATCAGGACAATTAGAGGATCCATCAAAGGTCATTCTTTTGACGCATGAAAACTCTGTGGTTTTAGTAGCAAGATCAGACGGTGGCTGCTCATAAATCAGATGACCTTCTATAAGTTCTAAATTCGAATGACCAAGAGTAAGATCACCTGAAAATGAAATCTGGTCTTCACAATATTCGAAAATAAAGTCATGACAGTCCCTATTTCACCCTTAGGTGATTTAATTCAAATAGCCCGGTATCATCATGGTTGGAATATGCCAAACGCATAGCTAGAAAAATGTCAGGTCAGGTCAGGTCACGTCAGGTCAGATCAGATCTACAGTGTTCTTATGCGGGTTTGTTAAGACGGGATCATGGATCATAGACTTTCTTGACCATGTCTAACCCACTGAGGATTTTTTAAAACCCAGAGTCATTTCAGAAAGAGATCTCCACTGGAAGCTTTATAAGTAGAACGAGAGCTAAATACAAGATCTATCAAATGAGTACCGTTTCCAAAAAAAGTAGGAGAAGCTACCTCAAGGAATTCAGAACGATCTATCACTCCATGGTCAAATTTATCTAAAATTTTGGTACCAAAAAACCTCCACCATCGGGAATAAACAGGACACAAGAGTTTTATTTGCTGTAAATTAAAGCCAATAAAGGCACTCCCGAGTATTCTGACAGTCAATTCACAAGATGGGAGAAGTGGTTGCAAAAACCTGGGAGCAAACACCAAAGTCCACAGGACTATTAACGATGAACCAATTAAGTCCTCTTGAAAATTGAAGATCAGGGAAAGGACGTCAAAAGGATTTTTCCTGACCTTACTAGATCTGACTTGGGTTGATCTGACCTGACCTCGAAAAGCCCGAAATACATGAAATCCAAGCCGGAGTATTATGTTCGTTCTCTATTTGGGCTTTGGATGCACAACGATAACTTTGGATATTTAATCAACCCTTGTTCTTGGAGGTAAACCAATATTTTTTAATCACATTTTGGTCTTGCCAGCTGGATGAATCTGTGTGTGGAATAAACCACTAAAGTTTTATTACGCCGGGTCACGTCAGATCAAGTCAAACAAGAACAAATCATACCAAGCCAGGGGTATATCAGATTAGATCAGGACAGGCCAGATCCGGTTTTAGGAAGCCAGGTCAGACCAAGTTGGATCAAGTCAGTCCAAGTCATATGACATCAGGACAGGAAGTCCCAGGTCAAGTTAGGTCAGGTTATGTTACTCGGAATCATATCAGGTAAGGAAGGCCAAGTCAGGCCAAGTAATGTTAAGTCGAGTCAGACTAGACCAAATCAGGTTAGTCTAGGTGCTGAATCAATTTGTGTGTGGAATAAACTAGGTATTGTCCACGCGGTCATAAGTTCTATTACACCTGGTCACATCAGATCAGGTCAAATAAAGGCAGATTAGATCAAAATTAACCAAGGATATATAATATCAGGTCAAGACAGGCTAGAACCGATCATATAAAGCCATGTCGAACCAAGTCGGGTCGGGTCAGGTCAGGTCATGTAGTACTTAGGCATAGTTAGTCTAGACCAACTCAGTTAAGTCCAGGTCATATCAGATCGTGTCAGGTCTGATTAGACAATGCTAAAATAAGGCCAGGTCATATCAGGCGAACTCAGGTAAGTATGTACTTGCTAGGATAAGACTGATTTTGGCAAATGACCTATTCCCTAAGAAAATAAAGGGCGGGGGTAGTACTTGTCAAAATAAGACTGATTCTGGCAAATGACATACTTTCTAAGAAAATAAAGGGCGGGTGGGTGGGGCTAGTATTTGGTAGGATAGGACTGATTTTGCCAAAAGACATTCTCTAAAAAAATAAAGGGCGGGTGGGAGGGGCTAGTATTTGCTAAGATAAGACTAATTTTGCTAAATGTTTTTTTTGCTAAAAATTTGTCTTTGTTGATCTACAATTTAAAAGCCTTGTTGATGCTCTCTATTAATAGGAGTGGCTTAACAATTTGGAACGTACAATTCTTAATTATGAAGGTTGGGATCTGATCAGAACTTGATGTCATAGCTGGTTTCAGTCTTTTGATGGCTTTTATTACGTCGTTCTCCTTGATGTTAAATAGATTTATGACGGATTAGGTAGAATTTTCATTGTCAGCTAAATAATATTCATCAAAAGATCAGGTTCAATATAGGTTGCTTTAAAGAAATGCGAATTTTTGAAGATTTCTAAAAATTTCGATATTTCAACGGTCAATTCCGGCAAAACGGTGGCAATTATCAAAGAAACGATGCCCGAAGTGAGTTCGAGTGCTCGAATTCTACCAGAAAATGTTTTTAGGTAAGTTTCGATAATGTCAAAATTTGATTGAAATTTGAAGACCATTGAAAAAAATTTCACTTTTAAAAGAGTTGTCTAAAAATTGCGAAAAAATTCAGGGACGTAGATCTCGGCATGCTGATTCCAAAAATATAGCGTATCGATGGTCACGGCGCAACATTTTCGAAAGAAACGGTACGAAATTCGAATTTTTGAAGATTTAAAAAAATTTCGATTTTTCAGCGGTCGATTCCGGCAAAACGGTGGAAATTATCAAAGAAACGATACCCGAAGTGAGTTCTAGCGCTCGAATTCTACCAGAAAAAGTGTTCAGTTAAGTTTAGAAAATGTCAAAATTTGACCGAAATTTGAAGAAGGGGGGGGGGGCGTTGAAAAAAATTTCACTTTTAAAAAAGTTGTCTAAAAATTGCGAAAAAATTAAAAACTGAAAAACTGAAAAATTTTAAATTAAAAAAAAAAACGATAAATCAAAAAATTGAAAAGTCGAAAAGTCGGGAAATCGAACAATCGAAATATTGAAATCTCGATAAACTGAGAAAGAGCAATCGAAGAACTAAAGAATCGAGAAATCGACAATTTCACAAATCGAAAAATTAAAGTATCGAAAAACTGAAGAACGGAAAAATTGAAAAATCGAGAAATTGAAACATCAAAAAATCTAAAATTTGGAAAATATAAAATGGAAAAATCTCAAATTTAAAAAGTTGAAAAATTGAGTCAAACTGAAAAATAGAAATATTGAAATATCCCAAAACTGAAATATCGAAGAGTTGAGAAACTGAAAAATTGAAAAATCGAAAATTCGAAAAATCGAACATTGAAAATCTAAAAATTTGAAAAATTGAAACATAGAAAAATCGGAAAACCGAGAAATAAAAAAAAATCGGAAAATCGAGTAATTGAATAAATGAATATAGAGAATTCGAAACATGAAAAGATTGAGAAATTGAAATATCCGATACGAAAAATTAAAAATTATAAAATTGAAACATATTAATTTAAAAAAAAAAACAACGAAAAATTGAAAAGTCGAAAAATCGGGAAATCGACCAATCGAGAAAACGGGAAATCAAACAATCGGAAAATCGAAACATTGAAATCTCGATAAATCCAGTAATCGAACAATTGAAAAATCCAGAAATCGAAACATCAAAAAAATGAAAAATTTAAGATTGAAAAATTCGAAAAATTGAAACAGAAATCGAAGAGCTAAAGAATAGAGAAATTGAAAATTCGAAAATTTCAAAAATCGAAAAATTTAAAATTAAAAAATTGAAAAATTGCGCCATCGAGAGTCCGAAAAATCCAAATCGAAAAATTCGAACAATTGAAAAATAGAAAAATCAAAAAAAAACGAGAAATAAAAAAAATTGAAAATTTGAAAAAAATTAAATGAAATAATCAATGAATCGACAAACTGAAAAATTGAGAAATCGAGGCATCAAAAAATTAAAAAATCTAAAATTAAAAAAATCCAAAAATTGACAAAATATAAAAATCGACGAACTGAAGAAACGAGAAATCGAAAAATCTAAGATTTTAAAAACCGAAAAATGTAGAGAGCTATTCAAGAACCGAGAGCTGACAAAGCAGACAGACGTAAAATCAAAGAAACAACTCTCATTAAATGGTAGAATGAGTGGAAAAACGCTACGAAGGGAAGGTGGACACATAGCCTAATTGGGAACATCAAACCATGGGTGCCCAGAAAATGGGGACAAGAGAAAATCAAAACCAAGCTACAAGTAGATAACCTCGTTGACAAAATGCTGGACAGCGAAGAAAACTGGGAGATCGTAGAAGAATACGTGACGAAAATAATAAGACAAAAAAAAAAGAAGGACGAGAGAGAGGAAGAACAAGAAGGCAGCAGATTCTAGATAAGA